GACCAGAGGAGGTGCAGGCAGGAGGGAATGCAAAGCTAATCACTGGAAGATGTGTCTGTTTATTTGCATGGCACGCATTTGTCTCTGACTGTTTTATCCACCCCCTGAGCCAGCCGAAGAGTTCTCAATTTATCCTGCCCGCACAGAGAGACCAGATTGGCGGCATGTACGCACATCCACAGAAGCCCAATATAGACTTCCAATTATCTTTTAATTTCGCTCCTGTCTTCATTTGTTCATTTCACTTTTTCCAAATGGACTGAAGGGGGAAAAAAAGCTGTAATTTATGGAGTTTGAAGTCTGCTGGCAGGAGCACCGTGTTCACCTGCCGGATGGGATTAGACTTCAGGTTAGTGCCTGAAGCTTACTCCCCACCGCCCTTGGGGGAGTCAGCTGCCTCTGAGAGGCCCCAAAGCCCCTACTGTCCCAGTTCTGGTTCCGACTCCCTGTAGCAACGATATCCTCTTATTTTCTATGTTTTCCACCCTCTGTCACCTGAGGCCCTCTGAGCTGACTTCACTCCCAAGTCTAGCTAGTTCCTAGCGATAGCAAATGACTCACCCAGGATCACCTTATCACATGCAAATGAACCACCCAAAGTCTCCCTCCATCACCTGCTCCTAGGCTCTCACAGGGCTCTTAGACCCCGGGGCCAATATTCCCCTGCCCTGATCACTCTAGGAGAAAGCTGAGCGCCGAGGAACTGATGCTTTTGAACTGTGGTGTTGGAGAAGACTCTGATGAGTCCCTTGGGCTGCAAGGAGATCCAACCAGTCCCTCCTAAAGGAGATCAGTCCTGAATATTCACTGGAAGGACTGATGCTGAAGCTGAAACTCCAATACTTTGGCCACCTCATGCGAATAACTGACTCATTGGAAAAGATCCTAACACTGGGAAAGATTGAAGGGGGGAGGAGAAGGAGATGACAGAGGATGAGATGGTTGGATGGCATCACCGACTCAATGAACATGAGTTTGAGTAAGCTCTGGGGGTTGGTGATGGACAGGGAAGCCTGGAGTGCTGCAGGGTCACAAAGAGTCAGACATGACTGAGCGACTGAACTGAATCACTGCAGGAGTGGGTAGGTGACAAATTAAAATAGCCTCAGGACCCCTGCACTCCTAAACCTGTTTACCCTGCCTTCCCCAACCCTCCTCATGAAAAACATAATACAGTCTCTGGTTCCCACTTTCCCTTCCTCACTCGGCCTCCTGGTGACCCTGGTGCTTCTTCATGTGGCCCTGAACGGCACTTGGATGGGGCTCCTCTAGAGATCTACGAAAAACAAGCTATCTTTCCAGTAGCAGTCATTTCCCGATCTGCCGACCTCACCATGTTATTGTTCACTCGCTAAGTTGTGTCCGACTCTTTGTGACCCCACGGGCTGCAGCACGCCAGGCTTCCCTGTCCTCTACTACCTCCCGGAGTGTGTTCAAACTCATGTCCATTGAGCCAGTGATGTCATCCAACCATCTCATCCGCTTTCACCCCCTTCTAGTCCTACCTGAATAATAACAAAGCCTACGTTTTATAACAATCTCAGGCGAATGTGGTCACTGAGGACCAAAATGGACGGCACGCAAGGGGAAGCCCCCTTTAATGAAGGTCTCCTCTGTGCTCAGATGTTTCACAGGTGTTACTTCCACCCACCAACAAAGGAATTGCCAAGCCGGGATTTACATCAGTGCCACCTTCCCCTCCACCCTCATGCTTCTTTACCTAGGTCCCTGCACCCCAGCATAAGGGCCAGCATTTGGCAAACATCTGGTAAATATCAGTCATATCAATCACTCACTCCAGGCTTCCCAGGTGGCTCAGTGGGTTAAGAATCCGCCTGCAATGCAGGATACCTGCGTTCAATCCCTGTGTTGGGAAGATCCCTCCGAGAATGGCACAGGAACCCATTCTAGCATTCTTGCTTGAAGATTTTCATGAACAGAGGAGCCTGGCAGACTACGGTCCATAGGTCTGCATAGAGTCGAACATGACTGAAGTGACTTAGCACGTACGCACGCAGTCAATCCATCAATGCCCCCTCTTTCTTTGTATGCACACTCAAGGCTAAACATCTTTCTGGAATTCTCTCCTGACCTCTCTTCTGATGCCCCTTGCTCCAGCCTCCTGGGCCATCCAGTCAAGTCTGGTTTACTTTGTCATGAACACTGTTGACAAATCCCCCTGTTAATATTTCCTTTGTTACACACTGTGGCTTGACTGTATCTCAGGCGTATGCACCAGCTTCCAGATCTGCAGGCAGGTCCTTCCCAGGGCTGGGACTGCATCTTCTGTCCCCCGCGGCCCTTTCACTTCCCCCGGCCACCCAGGGGCCTGCTCTGGCTACATCTAGCAGCCAGGAGCACAGCCTCAAGTGGAAAGAGCAACTGTCTGACTTAAAGGCTTGGAGGCGGAGCTGTAGGGGTGGCACTCCAGGACGCATGAAGCCCTTCTTGGGTGGGAAGCAGCCCCTCTATGGGGCTGAGACCCTGCGCACTTGGTGGCAGCTGAGAGGTCAAGCCCAGTGACAGCGCACCAGGGGGATGTGCAGTCTCCTCTCTCAGGAGGGAGATGCGCACCAGGGGGTTGTGCGGTCTCCTCTCTCAGGAGGGAGATGCGCACCAGGGGGGTGTGCAGTCTCCTCTCTCAGGAGGGAGATGCGCACCAGGGGGGTGTGCAGTCTCCTCTCTCAGGAGGGAGATGCTCAGAGCTGCCCTGACTGCACGGACGGTAGCTTGGCTTCTGGGGGGACCCCACGCCAGTCTCCAAAGCCCTGATTTCACCACCAGACAAATCATTTTTATTCTCCTTTATAACTCATCCTCTCCGTCCCAGAGGAAGACAAATGGGCATTGCAGTTAGAGACACCTGGCTATAAATCAAGACTCTGCCACTGACAACCTCCGTTGACACTGGCACATAATCTCTCTGAGCCTCCATTTCCCCACCTGTAAAATGAGAGTGATGACAACACCCACCTCTATGGATGCCCGGGAAGACCTCACTCATGCAAAGCATCCAGGACTCATTCCCCCTCCCCGATACTCACCTGGGCAGTATAGAGGGCAACCGCTCACCCCCCACCCAGCAGGCAAGTAAACAAAACCGACTGACTTTTCATTCCTCTACCCACTGGAATCTCCTGAGATGATTTTTAAAAATGAGGATTTCCTGGAAGCCACCCTGAACCCACTGAATCGTAAAATCTGGGGGCGGAGCTGGGCAATCTGCATTTCCAACAATCACGGTGAATCACTATCTCGACAGAGATGGAAAGAGTGGAAACAACACTCTCTCAAAGAGAGGTCACCAGTGGGACAGGCTGAAAACGTCTGACTCCCGGAGCAGTCATACCTGTTGGACAAACTCAGGTCTGTAAAATTCTGGAGTCTGGAAACAAAAGGCAGAAGGCTCATTTGCAGGCAAGTTGACATGCCCTTAGGGCTGCCATAAAAAGGGGATCACAGTTCTCTCCCAAACGGGACAGTGGACAACAGACACGATTCATCCAGAGCGTCCACCCATATCCTCCCCGTGGAAAGGTACAGTCAGCTTGGCTGTTGTCCCGGTGGCGCCTCAGGCCCCAGAGTTGAGCTTCCCTGGAGACGCAGAATCCAGCAAGCTGAGCGGACTGTACTTGGAGCCACAGCCCATGCGACGAAGGCCGAAAGGGGCGAGTGGGAGAACGAGCGAACAAGGAGGAAAGAAAAGATGATGCCGGAAGGATGGAGGCGCCGGGAAGGAGGCCCAGGAGGCAGCCTTGGACCTGACCCTGAGGGTCAGGCCAGCACAGACAGGGGAAGGCGGCCTGCGCCCAGCCCAGATCACGGCGTGCACGGCGGCCATCGGGAGATGACCGTGGGAGGCAAACAGACGGAGCACGGGGGTGTGGACAGCATCGCAAGGAATCACGATTTCCTCCTCAAGTCAAGGCTTCGGAGCCAAATTCCTCCAAACACGTGCCTGTTCCACAGCATGGCTCTTATTCTCATCTTTAAGTTAAATGCCAACACTTGGAAGTGGAGAGTGACAGCGTCTCTGGAATAGGGTGACCAGGCAGCGGTGGGGCCACGCCCCTGCACCCACAGGCGGCGTGAGGCTGAGACCCCATCCTGGCCTCCAGGGACCCCAAAAGGCCCTCAGTCAGGAGAGGGGCAGAGTCACACCTGTGCCTCCAAAGGTCCAGCTGATGGCGATTCATAGGAGTGACGATGGCGCCGATGGTGAGAAAGAGGAGGACGGTTGACGCTGACAAAGCCTTTCCACAGGAGCCCTTTACACACACCGACCCGTCTTGTTCTCACCCCCCTTATGAGGAGCTGTTATCGCTAGTTTTTCAGATGAAGAAACGGAGGCACAGAGAGGTGGACTCACTTGCCTGAGGTCACACAGCTCACTGGCAGAGCCAGGCGCTGCTGAGATGGGAGGCGAGTGAGACTCCTGCAGCCTCTGACTGTCTGAGGCTGTCTGGTTCCACGGGTGAGGCGTGCCCCATGTCTGCCCCTGATCTGGGTGCGGACACCGTGTGTTCCCCCCAACTCCAACGCCAAGGCCGGTTTTCTCAGGCACCCCGTCGGGCCGGGCAGCAGGGCAGAAACTCAGGAGCCTGGCCTGGGGACATGGCCCAGCTCCCGGCTCGGCCTGCCCTGCTGCTGACTGCAGGCCGGCCCCACCGTGCGGGCCCACCAGCCTCAACGGGAGGAGCGCGGACCCAGAGGGCCTCACGCCACACCTGCCGGGGCTCCACCCGCTCCACAACTCACCACACCCTACCTCCCAGCCCACGGATTTGCAAAAGGGAAAACAGGACACACGCACAGTCCCCCACCCCGAGCGTTTCCTAGCATCGGGTGACTGTTTGACCGGGAGCTTCCTCCCTCTTCCAGTGCCCGCGGGACCTGCCCAGCCCCCTCCCGCCGCGGCTGGCGTGGGTGGTGATCACAAGCTCAGCCTCCTCCAGGCAGATGCCTCCCACTTCCAGGGAAAAGCACCGAAGGCTCTGCCGCGCTCTGCCAGCCCCGGGCCTCGGTGGCCAACTCTGCCAGCTCAAAAGTCACCTTTGCTTCAGCACTTCATCGGTCCGGTCAGAGCTCACCCCAAACCCCCTCCCGCTCAGCCCAGCAGGAACCAGGAACCGTCCCCTATTGGGCAATCATTAATCGGATTCTTGGCATTCCTCTGCCCCAGGTCGGCTTGGGAACATGCTCCCCAGAGGAGGAGGAGCAGAGGCCCAGGACTGGCATCTGGACATGCAGCTGACGGGCCAGCTGGTGCTGTCCGCTGCTGCCCTGCTCCTGCTGACCGCAGCCTACAGGCTGTACAAGTCCAGGCCAGCCCGGGCCCTGCCGCGGCAGGGGGGCACCGAGGCCGGGGCAGAGGGGGCAGCAGGGGACTCCGGGCAGCCTGCCGTCCAGGAGGCTGTTCCCCGGGCGCCACAGTGGGACCTGAGACGCCGCAGGGGAAGCAAGGGGGGCGCAGGATTGCCGGGCTGCTGCTGGGAGAACACGGAGGCCTCCAGAGTCCCGGCCACCGGAGCTTCCTCCGCAGCCTCAGAAGCTGGAGAGGCTGGGAAAGCTGGGAGGAAAGGTGCTGGAGCGGAGCACTCTGGGCAGCGCCTGGATGCTGACCTGGCAGCTCCTCGGTGCGGAGGCCAGGAAGCCGGAACAGCTGTGGACGGTAGGCCCGAGCCGCCCCACCACTGCCATCCGTGCGGCGAACCCCTAGTCCCCACCGCTGGCCTCCCCACCGTGGAGAGCGGCCGTGTGGGCGGTGAGCTCGCTCCCTGGTGGGACAGTGGACCCCCCAAGCATCCAGGGGGCGGGGAGCAGGAATCCCCCCATGAAGGTCAGGCGGCCTGCCCTCAAGGCCGGTGTGACGTGAACAACAGCTGGGTCTTTACCCATGCGTCAGGGGTCCACAGGGAGGAGGCGGGGGCCCTCCAGGCTGCCTCGGACCTGGGCCTGGCCCTGCGTCAGCGGGAGGGCAACTCCGACGCCTCCTACACCTTCTCGCCCGTGGCCCGGGCTCGAGTAGAGGAGAGTCTCATACCGGAGAAGGTGGAGGGGATCAGGCCCAGGCTGAAGGGCAAGGTGTATGATTACTACGTGGAGTCCACCTCTCAGGCCACCTCCAGGAGCAGGCTGGCCCCCGGAACAGCCGCCCCAGTGGGGGCTCCAGCCCCCGAGTCAGAGTCTGAGCCCCTGGGAATGAGGACAGCGTCTGAAGGGCCCGCCGATGACAGAGAGGGCGGACCGGAGACCGCCGCCTCTCCCCGGCCTGTCCCCTCCCCCTCCACGCGAGGCTTCAGCCGCAAGGAGAGCCTCCTTCAGATCGTGGAGAACCCGGAGCTTCAGCTGCAGCTTGATGGCTTTGGGGGCCCTGTTTCATCCCGCCCAGACCAGAGTGCCCTGCGCACCCGCCCCACGTCCCAGGATTCTCCTGAGTCCAGCTCAGCCGGAAGCCGCGGGAAACCTCCCGTGCACTCTGTGGCTGGCACCAATTTCTTCCGCCCCCAGCTCGGCCCTGGATCAGCCCCAGAGGTCCACCTGGATCTGGGCAATTGCTACGAGGCGCTGACCTTTGCCAAGAGGGAGAAACTGGAGCCCCTGAAGGAGGCGGCCTACCAGGTGATGAGTGACAACTACCTCCAGGTCCTGCGGAGCCCCGACATCTACGGGTGCCTGAGCGGGGCGGAGCGCGAGCTGGTCCTCCAGCGCCGGCTCCGGGGCCGCAAGCACCTGGTGGTGGCCGACGTGTGCCCCCAGGAAGGCTCCGGCCGCCTCTGCTGCTATGACGATGCGCGGGACGCCTGGCGCCTGCTGGCCCGCCTGCCGCCCGAGGCTGTGTCCCGGGGCTGCTCCATCTGCAGCCTCTTCAATTACCTCTTCCTGGTGTCCGGTTGCCGGGGCTCGGGGCGCCAGCCCTCCAATCGCGTCTTCTGCTACAACCCGCTGACGGACATCTGGAGCGAGGTGTGTCCCCTGAACCAGGCTCGGCCGCACTGCCGGCTGGTGGCCCTGGACGGACAGCTGTACGCCGTCGGGGGCGAGTGTCTGAACACGGTGGAACGCTATGACCCTCGCCTGGACCGCTGGACCTTTGCGCCGCCGCTGCCCAACGACACCTTCGCCCTGGCGCACACGGCGGCGGCGAGCGGGGGCGAGCTCTTCGTCACCGGGGGCTCGCTGCGCTACCTGCTGCTGCGCTTCTCCACCCGGGAGCACCGCTGGCGCGCCGGGCCCACCGGGGGCGGGAGGGACCGCACGGCCGAGATGGTGGCGGTCAGAGGCTTCCTCTATCGCTTCGACCTCAACCGCAGCCTGGGCATCAGCGTCTACCGCTGCAGCGCCAGCGCCCGCCTCTGGTACGAGTGCGCCACGTACCGGACGCCCTACCCCGACGCCTTCCAGTGCGCCGTGGTGGACGAGCTCGTCTACTGCGTGGGGCGCCGGCGCACACTGCGCTTCCTGGCTGACTGCGTCTCGCCCAGGTTTATGCCCGAAATGCTGCAAGCCTTCCCCTCCCCGCAGGGCACCCTCCTGCCCACCGTCCTGACCTTGCCCGGTCCTGATGTGCCCCAGACCAGGGTCTAGCAGCCGGTCTGCTGGGCTCCTTCTGCAAGACTAGACGCAAACACACCCCCAACCCATCGCGGCATGGGCCATTCCTGGGAGATCCGGGGGGCAATCCCGCCTCCTCCACCCTCTGGGCTTCTTAGCACCGTCTTTGCCCTCTTCGGGCGGCAGCCCTAGTGTGAAAATGTAACTGAGGACTGATGCTCCGAAGCCCAGGGCGCCCACCTCTGCAGGGTTGAGCCGCACCTTGCTTGCGGTCTGAATTTGGTGGGGAGGGGGGTACCAGGACCCCAGCAAATTTCAGGGGCACAGCCTTCTCACAGGCCCTATTCCAGAGGTGTTTTTGACTCCCAGTGACCCCTCAAGTTGACCCTGCTGGATCTGGGCCAGCCCTCCCTAAGCCACCAAGGCCTCTTCCTAACCATCGGCCACTGAACCCCAACCTCCAAGGCTCCCAGAAGCATCTGGGACACACACAGGCGGCGAAAATCGAGGGGGGTGGTTAGGCAGGACCAGGACAAGCCCAGGGGAGCCCCAGGGGGCCCCGCCAGAGGGAGAGATGGTTGGAGGAGCTGCGGAGCTGAAGTTGAAGCCATCCACGGGAACTCTTGCCTGCAGAGTGAATTGACCAAAGCCCGCTTCGCTTTTTCTCATTACATGGAATTCCAGTATACTGGAAGGAGAAACCTTCATGCTTAGCATCCATTTATAAAGGCACATCTGCTTGCAGGGTCTACTGAGAATACAATTGATGACAAGGAAAAAAAAATGTGATCCAAGGGCCACCGTCCTGCTGGGCCCGTGGTTATTTGACCCCCGCACTCTCTCCCCAGATCTCAGAGCCCTTCACAGTACAACTGCTCATGCCACCCAGCCCTCGCCTTGGGAGCTGGGGGCAGCCCTTCCGGGAGGTGAGGGGATGACCTCCTTCGCCTTCCCTGTGCCTGTGGTCGCCTGGTCTGCCTCCTCAGACGGGAGAGGACTGGGGAGGGGCAGGTCCGTGATGGAGCTGAGGAACCAGCAAGTTCTCATGGTGTACCGGGAGGCTGGGACCTCCTTTCACATCAGGTTTGTCAAAGCCTCAAAGGGAGGAAAGCTTCCAACCTCAGGAAGTTACCTTGTCTTCCCAGACGGAGGGGAGAGAGACTAGTCCAGTCTCTTACCGCAGCCCTGTTCCATCCCCAAGGAGGTGCGTATACCGACAGGAAAGCAGGCGTGCTCTTGGTACCTGCCGGAAGCCAGGAGAGCCGGGACGACTTCTAAAGTGACCAGCGGCGTCAGGGAAGACAAGAAGGCACCACGGCAGGCCCGACAGGTGGGGAGATGAGAATGCTCAGACTTCGCGTTCCCGTCTTGATAATGGAAGGGCAATCCATGCCCTTCTCTGCCGGGGGGATAAAGGCGAGCACCTGGAGAAGGCTCTTCCCAATTCCGGGGGCTCCTGGCAGGAGCTTGTGTCACTGCAGCTGCGGACTGACTGCGGAGGCTGAGCCGGGGATCTTTTTGGAAGAGGCGGGATTGGAACAAAGAACGAGAGCAGGTTGGTATAGGGATGAAGCCTTTCCTTGGACCACGGAAGCCCACCTTCCCTATTCTAGGGCTTGGGAGGTGAGGCAGCTTAGTTTATTTCTAAGCTGGAAGCTGGGGGAGGAAAGATAGCTGAGACTATGGCTGGAGGCTGAGACAGTGACCTCCTCTCCAAATCCCCTCCACCACCAAGGCCATGCTCAAGTTTAGAGTCAGCACGCAGTCATGGACCTCCAAGGGACCCGGGGGGAGGGGAGACGTGATGCCCAGCAGGGGAAAAGGTGGAGAGTCCCATCTGGGAGCCGGGGCAGGTAGAACCAGATCGAGGCCAGGGGCAGGCCTCCGGCAAGGAGTCACGAGAGGACAAGACCTCAGCCAAGCTGGGTGGGGCATGGAGGAAGGCTCCAAGCCGAGATGAGAGCTAGGGCTCGCTCTGGGAAAACCTCCAGAAGCCCATCGCATACAGACAGCAGGGATCGAGGGGTAAGGCAGCGAAGCTGGTTCTGGACCCATGGCGGTGGATGTGGCCTCCGTGATGAAAGGGAGAGCTGAGACTGGGCCGGGGCCGAGACAGAATGGTGCCGTGAGGTCCTCTGCCTCCTGCCCTCCCGTGGCAGACATCACTAACCGGTCGCCGTGTCCTTTCTTCTTGAGCTCTTTCCACCGCCTAGAACTATTTCAGCACAGGGCCCCAGGAAGTCATTACCAGCAGATCAGGGCTCATGCGTTCCTGGCCTGGGTCTCCAGAGCTGGATTTAGGGATGAAAGCCGTGAGGGCCATAGTGTCAGGGCAGGGTAGTGCAGGGGGCCTGCAGAGACCTCCTGGGGCTGTGACAGTCAGGGTTCATTTTATTGTTGTTTAGCCACTAAGTCGTGTCTGACCCTTTTGCGACCCCACGGACTGTAGCCTGCCAGGCTCCTCTGTCCATGGGAGTTCTCCAGGCAAGAATACTGGAGTGGGTTGCCATTTCCTTCTCCAGGGGATCTTCTCCAGCCAGGATCGAACCCATGTCTCCTGCATTGGCGGGTGGATTCTTTACCACTGATCCACCAGGGAAGCCCCAGGGTTCGTTTACAGAATATTTAAACCAGGCGCTGCTCCAGTTGTTGGAGACACAGCACATCCCTGTCCTCGTGGAGCTCGCATGCTAGCTGTAGAAAACAGGCAGTTTAAAAAAACAGGTCCATAAACAACAGATAGCACCCATGCCGCACACGGGCCACAGAGGAGGAGAAGGTGGGGAAGTGGGGTGGCGCGATCAGGCTCCCTGACAAGACGACGCTGTGCAGAGCCCTGAGGGGACGTGCCGGGGACGCAGACCCCAGGGCGGGCTCCGGGCCGGGAGGGCTGGCCTGCCTCCCGAAGCCTTTGCCACGCCGGCGGGGGGAGCAGGACTGCCTCCCAGGCTCCGTCTTGGTGTGTGGAGGGCAGGAGCCCAGCTCTTCTGCTTCGGCCTTTCCTATGAAGGAGAGAATCCCGTCACACTGACATTCACGGGAGAGGGTCCTTACTGGAGGTGAGCTACATCCCCGAGAGAAGCACAGTCTGCCCGTTTAGGTACTGAAGTCGCTCAGTCGTGTCCGATGACTCTGTGCGACCCCACGGACTGCAGCCCACCAGGCTCCTCCGTCCCTGGGATTCTCCAGGCAAGAGTACTGGACTGGGTTGCCATTTCCTTCTCCAGAGGATCCTCCCGACCCAGGGATTGAACCCAGGTCTCCCGCATTGCAGGCAGACGCTTTATACCCTCTGAGCCACCGGGGAAGCACACACATTTGGGGGGAGGGTCAGAGCCACACACAGATGCCCCGTCTGAACGCGCGCTGGGTGTCAGCCAGCCCGTGCTGCTCCCGCTGGGGGAGTCCAGCATCTCCACTGGCCGCCGTAATAGCCTTGTCCGTTGTCTGCTCACCCGCAGCCTCAGAGGGCCTGCGTGTCGCTTGGCTTCTATATGGCTCATCTGTCCTTCTTTTCAAATGTGAGTTCTTTCTTCTTTCGGGAAAAAAAAAGAAAACCTTAAGTTTCAGTTGTTTTGCACGTTAGGCCAACCATGCCACTATAGAAAAAATTGGAGAATAGAGAAAGGTATTAAAAAATCTCCCCAATTTTCCACCCAAAGACAAACCCCCGCTGTGGTGTGGGTCCTTCCGGTCTGTTTTCCTTTGCATGATTTTTCTTTGGCTTGATTTTTGCCTCGGTGTGATTATGCTGAATATACAATTCAGTTGCTTCCTTTTTTTTCTTTAACTTAGCTTTATAGAATAAGCATTTCCCCATGTTATTACAAACCCTCGGTAAACATCATTTCAATAGTTGCACAATATTCCATCCAGTGGACCTGCCATGGTTTATTTAAACATTCCCCCTTCCTTCAGGCCTGTAGTTTTTTTTTTTCCTGTTGGTTTCTTTTTCTGTCATAAATAAAGCGCCCTTTGTTTTCGCGTTCCTCTCTGAGGCCTCCATCAATATTTACAAGAGAAACAGCTCTGTCTGGAAGAACCAGGTTGTAGAAACCACATAGAAACCACAGCAGGTGCCTGCCTGGGGCCTGGGCCTCGCTCTTTCTGTAGGGCACAGAGCTGCCCTTGAAATGGCCAGTGGGAAGGGCGAAGCCGGAGGCCCTCCTGTCCTGGGGATTCCTGGAGCGAGGATGTAAGTCAGGGATTCCTGCTCTGCACATGCCAAGCACACCTCCCAGACAGCAAGCCCATTTTACAAGTGAGAAAACTGAGGCTGAGGGAGCACAAGGACACTTGCTAAAGACCCTCAGTCTCCTGGAAAGCATCCTTGACCCTGGCCTGCCCACTCTCAGCACAGAGTTCTTTCCCTTCCTCTGCCATGAGGTGCAGAGCCAAGGACGTGACGTCCGCCGCCTCCTGCCCCTAATCCCTGTCCATCCCCCACCGGTTGGTTTGCTCTATCCTTGAAACTGGAACACAAAAGAAACTGTCTTAAACTCTCCGATCCTCCATGCCTGCATCTATCAAATGGGTTTGCCACAGCCAGCCTCAAGCGGATGCTGTAAGGACTGGTCCAGGGGCTGCTCCACGGTTGGTCCCAGAAGCAGCATTGTCTCCTGCAGGGAGGCTGCTCTGAGCCAGCTCAGGGGAGGGATCCCTCATACTCCCACTGCCCTTTCTCAGTGGCCTGGTCCTGTGGAAGGAGGTCGTCTGACATTTAAGCTCCAGATGCCCCATCTTGTTTAACAAGGTCTAGGGATTGGGGGAAGAGGCTCGAGTTATGCATAGACCATCCAGGTTGGAGACGAACCTCTGCAATCCTCTAACAGGATCAGTGACTGGCTGACTTGAGTTTCCCAAGCTCAAAGCATTAGGCATTTCCCCAGGGCATCCGACAGCAGTGAAGAGCTCCAGAGGCTGCTCGGACCCCCTGGACACCTTGAGAAGGTGCAAGATGGTACAGATGGGAGGGCAGGAGCCCCTCAGAGTGCCTGCGAGGCCCATGCGCTGTGTCTGGCCTACAGATAATCAGAGCCGCGCTTCCCATCTTTGTCATCCTTCCTGGGAGGCACTTGTGGCCCCAGGGTCGCCCTCGGAGTCCCCTGAGGCTGCGGCTCCAGCCGGGAGGAGCCCCCAGGCAGACAGGAGGCTGCGGTGGAGGAGGTGGACAAAGGGTGATGATCGCAGAGGGAGGCGGTGCCCCCAGGAGTAGGAGATGAGGGGACAGGCAGCTGGGGAACCAGAAGAGAGGACCGCCGCAGGGCGAGTCTCTACTAACAGCTCCCAGACTCAGGTTTTTTGAAAAGTGGGATGTGGGTCAAAATAAAATAAAAATGAAAAAGTGATCGAGTCTTGGCCACCTTTTTCTGTGTGTGCAGGGAGGCAGTGGAGACACGGATCTTGTACCAATAATAATGACAACCATGTTCCCCCACTCTGGGCTCTGTGCAAACCCTTAACTGTCCTTCCCTCATCAAATCCTTCCTGGAACATCTCTGCCTGGAAGTGATTATCCTCCTAATACAGGGGAGGAAACGGAGGCAGGACGTTTCACAAAAATGAAAGTTATTATTTGAGACCTTTTCTAAAATCTGCCTTTATTATTAAAAAATCGGAGGAGAGGAATCAATCTTTGTCAATACATGTACTGAGTACTAATGTCGCTAGGGGTAAAGAACCCACCTGCCGATGCAGGGGACGTAAGAGATGTGGATTCGACACCTAGGTTGCAAAGGTCTGCTTGAGGAGGGCATGGCCACCCACTCCAATGTTCTTGCCTGGAGAATCCCGTGGACGGAGGAGCCTGGAGGGCTGCAGTCATAGGGTCGCAGAGAGTTGGACACGACTGGGTGACAGCACGCACATGTGCAGGCCCTATGCTTATGTGATTTCATTTTATTCTCAAAACAACCCAGTAGATGGCAAAACTGGCCAAATTCTCCCCTTTCCGCCAATTTCTCCACCCTTGATTTGGCCATGAGACTTCATTAAAAAAAAAAAAAATGTATGTATTCGTCTGCACTTACTTTTTCCATTTAATATAGTATTTTCCTATGTTTTAGCTGCACCGTACAGCTTCTGGGATTTTAATTCCCCAATTAGGGATTGAACCTGGCCACCACAATGAAAACACTGAATCTTAACCACTGAACAGCCAGGGAACCCCTGATACTTGCTTTTAATAGCTTGGACACTGGGCTTACTCTCTTGTTCTTAAAAACCCTGAGATTTCCACCATGGGCACAAGCCTGGGCTAGCCTCCTGGACACGTGGGAGACACGTGGTCTGCTTATCCCTTCCCCCAGTCCACAGTCCGCCAAACGTTAAGAGCCACTGACCACAGACACCCTGGCGAGCAAGCCCAGCCAAGAGCAGCAGACCCCCTGGCTGAGCCCAGCCCAAAGTGATGTGAATGAAAATTGTTGCCTGCCATGTCAGTAAACAAAGGACGCTGCCACCCTCAAGCCATCACATTGCGGCGCTCTGGACAGTGAGCCCCGAGGGAACGCAGGATGGAGGCAGGATGCTCCTGCACCTAGCAGTCAGCCCCTGCAAGCACCCACAGCTGTGCGCATAGAGGGGACCCAGGGCAGGACACAGGATAGTGGCCCAGACAACTGGGGCACCTACCAAAGGAACAGCAGTGAGCCCGGCTCTGAAGCGCTAAAGGCCGTAACTTGAGATGCCCGATGTTCCTTAGTTAGCAGTGATCTTTTGACTTTGTGACTGCCTCTTTTTGTTGCTAAACCTCCTATGCCTCCTGAACTCCCTGCCTTGCCTCTTGGGAGCAGTTCCTCAGGGTTACCTGAGATGCTGTGTCCTGGGCTTAGGTCCTCGATTTGTCCATTGAATAAAACGTAACAGGCTTCTCGGATGCTCAGTGGTAAAGAAGCCACCTGCCGATTCAAGAGGTGCAGGAGATGCAGGTTTGATCGCTGGGTTGGAAGGATCCCCTGGAGTGGGAAATGGCAATCCACTCTAGTTTTCTTGCCTGGAAAATTCCATGGACAGAAGAGTCAAGCAGAATGCAGTCTGTGGGGCGGGAAGAATCAGACACAGCTGAGCACAGCTTAGCCTCAACTTTCAGGCTTTTCTTTCTTTCTTTTTTTTTTTTTTAAGACAACAAGGCCAATTCACTGATGTGTGAGCAAGACAGCAGCTATGGGTTTAAGCCACTACATGCCGGAGTGGTTTGGAACTCAGCAATATACAAGCGATACAGTGCTGCTGTGAGATACACACTATGATGACTATTTTATAGCAAAGGAAGCTAAAGTTCAAGAAAATGACCCAACTTTCCCATGAAGACGTAAAAAAATGTGCAATGTGAGAGTTGCCAGTTAAGTTTTATTGGGGGCAAAATGGGGACTTTAGCGTGGGAGACAGCACTTCAGATAGCTCTGAGAAACTGCTCCAAGGAGGTGGGGAGAGGAGCTAGAACATATATAGGAGTTTTG